TCAAGGAAGTGAAGAATTAAGAGAAGGGTACAATGAATAAAGGGAAAATGAAAGTTTCAACCGGATACTATTTTTTAGGAAAATTCCTTGTGGGAGAAAAGTTGTTAAAAAAAACTTCTTATTAATGTTAACAGAGTTAAAAAGATTTCTCAAAGCTATAATTTTATAGTCCCAATTACTTACTGGCTTATTAATAAATATTTATCTTATTTATTTATTTTTAAATTTTCTTAAAGAATAATATTTATTGATGATTATTTAATGACATTATAAATGAAGGTTGAATATTAGGGATTAAAATGAAAAAAAATGACTAATTTGACTTCATTTATCCCGATTAGTCACATAAGTTTAATTCAAATATTTATAATATAAAATAAATTAAATATGTTGATAAAATTAAAAAGTAGATTTTGTATATTATATTGAGATAATATTATTTTACATGATATTTGTTATCACTTTCTTATTTTATCTCTTGTGCATGTTACAACTAAAATATCAATTTAAATAGATGGATAAATCAAGTTGGAAGACAAATATCAATGATAAATCAATATTTAGAGAAAAAAATATTTATCAATTTTAATAATTGTTTCTTATGTGAAAGAAATGTAAACTTGTAATCGTTATACATATAAATGTATACATGTTGATCTCATGTCTTACTTTTGTCAAGATTCAATGGAAAATAATACTCTCTTAAAATATAATTATATTAATAATATGATAGAAATGGTCGTTACAAAAAGACTTAAAATAAACTCACTGATAAGTGTTGTTTGTGATGAAGCATTATAGTATCATGTATGTAGAGAGATTACTTTTAATGTAGGTTTGCGTATCACATTTTTTTTAATACTGTTTCTAGTATAAATTGGTTTGACTTTACTTTCCAAGTGTGTCACTTTTTTCAAGATGAATTATTATTTTAAGATGAATCAATTTATCATTACATGAGTTATTTTTATTTAGGCTAACAAGTAATTACTTTTCAATTTGGAGAATTCTTCCAATTATACTTTGATCACACTTACTTACTTCTTGATCACAAACAGTGGTAACTCAATAATTAATATAATGTGAATTTCTATATGAGATGTTTCATATATCAATTTGATTTTCAATAAAAATTATAACATTCAAAGTAAAGTGGTAGAAAGATAAACATGCGAGGAAAGTAAACATGCAAGAAAAGCGAGAAAAGTAAATGTGCAAGGAAAGTAAATTGCAGGAAAAAAGAATCTAACACATTACCAAGGATAAAATAAAAATTAATAAAGAAACCTAATGAAAGTGGTAACCCAAATTATCATGAACTTTATTAAAATAACATTTCCGTATTTATTAAATGCAAGTTTCTTACTACAATTTGTTACTCTTAATTACACTTATTTCATTTATTTATACTTATTATATGTAATCGTTAAGAGAATTAAAAAAATCAAAATAAAATAAAATACAAACGATTTTCTTCCTATAATTGTTTCTTTTATTTCTTGAGCAGTTTCATTGACACATAGCACTGGTAACCGTCCATGTCATGTAGTGGGTTGTAAAGCCTCTAGATACATCTCGATTGTATAAGTTCATTCTTGATCATTTGTCTTCTTTGATTAATTGTACTTCGATCCATTTATCTTTCTTGATTAATCCTTTCATGATAGATATTTTGTTTTTCTCGATTTTTCTAAGTACACAGATCTTGATAAGTTTTTCTCAATATCTCCCTAGTTCTTTCTTAATTCATTAAAGTCTTCAATTTATATTTCAAAATATGTTCTACCTTTTTGTCAACGTGTTTCTCAATGATAATCTTTCCATTTTTTAATATTTAATACTTTTGTCTCAATTACTCTTTATTATTATGAATGAAGTTTTAATTATCTTTTTATACAATTTGTATATTTTGATCACTTGTTTTCTTCAATTTCTTATATATCTTTTGACTCACTCCTTAATTACCTATATCATTGATTTTTAATCATTTTCAATTCTCACTGGTTCAATTTTGATTTTTATCTCTTCGTTTCCTACTAATATTTTTTATTTGATTTCAATTTTTTTACTTTTTAAATCTCTACCACTTCAATCTTTATTTTTATCATTTCAATCTTTATCATTTCGATCTCAATTATTTTTTTAATTTTAATATTTTCCTCAACTCATTCTTTCAATATATATATATATATATATACGTGAATTTGCCAGCAAGAAATACTTATAAACAATATTAAGATATGCTAAAAATGCTTTTGCGCGGTGAGACACATCACAAAAAATGGTATTTGTTGAACTTAGATAAACATAAATTGATAAAAAGTCTCTACTCTCACAAGTAGATTAGCTATGAGTGTTTTGTGGGTATATTAGAAAGTAGTTAGAAAGAAAAGTAAAAATGGGATTAATACTTAGTCCAGAAAGGAATCGAAAAAACGCGTAGTTTAGCATGACATGCAGATGTAGGCCATGCTAGAACCATGGAGGGACCACCAGTCGTTGACCCATCTCCCCACCAAATAGATGTTCATTGCATGAATTTGACCAAAATTCCAAATCATATCTTCTAATGAATACAAAATTGCAAAATAATCTCGACAAATATCGGGGTTATGATAGGTTGTCAAACAATATTTGTGTAAATATTGTTACTAATTGCTACTTATTCTTATCTTATCACAGTTAAATCATACAGACCATTCAATTTAATGATCGGACAAGTTAGTTACATCCATCTTTGCCAAATGATAAGTTTTTTGAAAATGATACCAATTATTTATTGCTGTGAACTGATAATTTGCAAAGAAAGTATTTTAATAATTATAAGTATTAATTAATTACTGTTTATTTACGGAAATATTTAAATTTATTAACAAGAGCGGAAATGTCTAACCACCTAAAGAAAAATGTCAAAATGAACTATCCTGATGAATCTAGTCTCGTTCTCCAGAGTAACTACAAAAATTAATAATATATTTTAAAATAATTTATAATTTTTTAGTCTCGTGCTAGAAGAATGAATTAGTAGACCTTTCAATCTGATTAAAAAAAACTTATCTACATAAAAATAATTAATTAAAAAATTATTTTAAATCTAATAATTTATTATATAAATTATAAGAAAAACAATTATATATTTCTAAGATAAGAATTAAAAATTTAATATTTTTTATTATAATTTATTTTTTAATAACTTAATTATCTTTAAAATAATTTATTTTAATCATTAAATCTTATACTAAATAGGTATTAAAAAATATTTGTATATATTATTTTAAAAATAAATTAATATTTTTAAATTAATATATAATATATATATTAATAAAATATTTGTATTTTTATTTTTATTTAAAAATTATTATTATTATTTTTTCTAACCTAGTATATTTTTATAAAATTTTCAAACTTATCCATAAAATTAGGTATGTTTTTACACCCAGGAGAAAGAGATATCTTACTTTATTCTTTGAAGACTTATTTTTTTAATATACTAATATAATTTTATGGATGTAATTGAGTGATAGTATATATTATTGATCATTAATATATCAAACATAAGTTGATAATTTATTGAGAAAATATGTATAATTAATTATTACTCAATAAATCTTAAAATAATGAAAAAAAATGCACCTCTCATACATAGTTGGCTAAATTATTATCAATCAAATACATTATGATTCAATATAATTCAAATTTATAAAGGAAATCAAAGTTAAAAAGAAACGTAGCCATCCCTTATCTTTTCGTCACCTTTGCACCACAAAACAATTGCTTCTTAGGCTTATGCAATAGTTATGGTCTATAGTTTTATTTTATTTTTTGTGTGTATATTTATGATCTCTATTTTAACTTTATTCCTCTAAACGAAAATAACAAACTGAAAAACTATTTCTTAAAAAAGTAACTTTATATGATTAAATCTTATAATCCTGAATCATGTTTTTTATTTATGTTTTTATTTATTTAATGACCCACATGATTTTAAAAGTATTGCTAATAAAAATATTTCAAACCCGTTTTATCTCATTATAGAGTTTTAAGATTTTTTTTTATCCTGCCATCTTATTAATCTATTATTACAAAATTATCATTTTTTCTTAAAAAACTATTATAAATTATTAATTTTAATATTACCAATCGAGTTCAATTCTGTTTCCCTTTGCATTTTCAAGTTTCGGAAAGCACGTGACAAACAAAAACTTGTGTTGAAGAAACCAAAAAGTCAACGAAATCCCAGGAGAAAAAAATAACGACACATTTTGTAAGAACAACTCATTACTTAGTATTTTTCCAACCCATTTTATCAGGTTAAATTTGTTGAAAATTATAAAACTGTAAATGGTAGCAGTACACAAGATTTGTTCAAAGATAATTAGTATCAAAGTTTTGTGAAGAGATTTAGAAAATTACTTAATATCTTTACTTGTTCTTTTGGAGAAATGTAGTGTTTTGGATTTGTTGTTCGCAGGAAAATGAAAGGATGCAATCTGGAAGGCACGAAGGTGCATAAAGCATTCCGAATTTATGAGCAAAAAATGATGCAAAGTCAAGGAGGGGTAGCGGCGTCATTTTCCTTAGCCCACCTTGGACTTACTCTACTCGTTCCCATTGTTAATCAAATAATTAAACCACTTCAAGTCTCTCGTTTTTTTCATCCTCGCCAAACCCCAACCACCTTTTTTTCTCTACTATAAATCTAAACAAAGTAGAAAATTTCCATTTATAAAACAACCTAGACAAGTACTAATAATAAAAAAAAACAGCGAAGGAAAATCAACACGGCTAGAAAAGTTGCTGCAACACCCATTTGTTGAAGATTTTAAATCCATGCTACCCCTCTCTTTAAAATCTTCATCCTTTTTCCAACTCTACCACACCATCTCTATCTTCCTCAAACACATAACTCTCTTCCAAGACGAACAATTTTTTGTAGCACAGGACTTGTCAGATTGTAGATAATTCACACACAATCTAGATAAAGCACAAGGGTAACTGACATGACAATCGCATGGGGATCGATCTTCGCTAGTTGTTTCAAGAGTGAGTCTGTGTCTCCTTCCCCCAAGCCCACCAAAGTGGTGGCTACAAAGGGTGGTTCTTCTTCCAACAGGGTCTCCATAACGGACTTGAGTTTTCCTGGTTCAACGCTTTCGGAGGATCTCTCCGTTTCTCTAGTGGGGTCTAACCTGCATGTTTTTTCACTCGCCGAGCTGAAGATCATAACACAGAGTTTCTCTTCGAGTAACTTTCTAGGAGAAGGAGGTTTTGGACCTGTGCATAAGGGCTTCATTGATGACAAGCTTAGGCCTGGCCTCGAGGCTCAACCGGTGGCCGTCAAGCTCTTGGATTTGGACGGTTCTCAGGGCCATAAAGAGTGGTTGGTGAGTACCCCTTTTCACTTAATGCAAATCTCATAAGAAAATAAGAGTAAGGATGATTTTATTTTATAAATACTTTTATGAGATTTTTTCTGAACTAATCATATTCTCAAAACGCTTTTAACACCATCGACTGTATTAATAATGTGGTACTACCATGATTTAATTACATTTATTGCTATGATTTGCCTGACTCTGACCTTTCCTTCTTGTTTCCTGACGACAGACTGAAGTTGTGTTTCTGGGTCAACTAAGGCATCAACATCTGGTGAAGTTGATTGGATATTGCTGTGAAGAAGAACACAGGCTCCTGGTCTACGAATATTTACCTCGAGGCAGCTTAGAGAATCAACTATTTAGAAGTAAGATTTCTATGATAGTAGTATAGTAATTAAGAATACTTTCTTTCTGCTATATTATTATATTCACTTTGCAAGTGTTGACGGACTAAACTTACATTTTTTTTTTCTTTTGGATTACAGGATTTACGGCATCGTTACCATGGTCAACAAGAATGAAAATTGCAGCGGGAGCTGCGAAGGGTTTAGCCTTTCTACATGAAGCAAAAAAGCCAGTCATCTATAGAGATTTCAAAGCTTCAAACATCTTGTTAGACTCTGTAAGTACTCAATTAACCACTTTCTCTGGCATACTCTTGTGTTCGGTTTGAACAATTGAACTGAACCCCCTTTATCAGTTATTAACTCACTCTGGTAATTCGTTCTTCCAGGATTATAATGCAAAGCTTTCTGACTTTGGCTTGGCAAAAGATGGTCCCGAAGGAGATGACACGCACGTTTCAACTAGAGTCATGGGCACACAAGGCTACGCGGCCCCAGAATACATCATGACAGGTAAAAATAATTTCACTGAAAGTAAAACACAACAAGACGTGGTTCACTTGAACTTTGATTAATGAATTAATTGCTCACTCAATTCTCAGTTGTGCAATGTTTTTGTCTTCCATATAGGACATTTGACAGCAATGAGCGATGTATACAGTTTTGGAGTAGTTCTCTTGGAGATTCTAACAGGAAGAAGGTCAGTGGACAAAGGGCGCCCACCAAGAGAACAGAATCTCGTGGAATGGGCCAGACCTGTTTTGAATGATTCCCGGAAGCTTAGCCGAATAATGGATCCAAGACTTGAGGGACAGTATTCTGAGGTAGGGGCAAGAAAAGCAGCTGCATTGGCTTACCAATGTCTCAGCCACAGGCCAAGAAGTAGACCCTTGATGAGCACTGTGGTTAGTGTTCTTGAGCCTCTTAAGGACTTTGATGATGTTCCAATTGGACCATTTGTTTACACTGTTCCAACTGATCCAAATGAAGTGGCAAAAGAGGTTGAAACACCCAAGGAGAGGAAGAGGGAAAATGGTCATCATCATCATCATCACAGGAATCAACATCACAATAATGGTCATAAACATCATGATAATGATGAGGCCAATAAAGATGCAAATGGTCACCATCACCACCGAAACCATCGCCACAATGGCCATAAGCATCATCCACTTAAATCGCCCAAGACACCAATATCATCATCAGAGTCACAGAATAATGAACACCAAAATGGTAGAAGAAGCGGGTCAAACTCACCTGACACCTCCATTGCATCAGAAGCACAAGGAAGCATGGTTTAGTAGAAACACATAGATGATACTGTAAATACCTATTTACTGGCGAATTATTAGAGTTAATCACATGCTAGTACTAGTGCTAGGCTAAGTGCAACGAGCCTTCAAGGGAATAAAAGACAGAAAAGGACGCAAAGGAAAAGTAGAAGAGAGTGCCACTGTAATGGTCCTTGCATGGAAAACAGGATTGAGTTTTTTTTTTTTCAATTTGTTTATTTGTTCAGTTTCCGGAGGAAGATAATTATTTTGAATTGTGTATACAACGATGAATTTTTTCCCTGACGAATCAAAAGACTAGTTCAATAATAAACAGACAATTTCCTACTACGAGTTAAAAAAAGATCTGCAACAAAAACGAGTACAGCTAAGAGTTTGACCAAATGACACGTAAATAAATCCAATTGTTTATTTGGTGAGAGTGCAAGACAGCAGGAAGGAACGCCGCCCTCACAATTATTTTTTTAGTTTACGCCACATACCATTCAATTTACTCCCATCTTTTATCATCATCGAGACCTTCATCCACAGAAAATTTGTTACTCTATCGTGATTAAGCTTCCATAGTGTGAATAGGTTTTCTCTTTCACTTAAAGAAGATTGCTGTGAAAATAGGTGGTCCTGGCATAAAAGAGTAGGGAATCTCAATTATTATACAAGATGACCTGCATGACAGAATGTCATCAACTTCACGTAGTGCGCAAGTGGCAGAATCCAAATGTCATAGATATTAAAATCAAAGATGTGTGTGATGGCAAATAACACTGTCCTGAAAGCAAATTTTACATAGCTACTTAAGATAATTTTCGTCTCAGATTCACATAGCTTCTCATGTTTCTGTAAATTACCATTAAAACAGAATTTCCATCTTTAAAGAATAAAATTAATAAGTCATAATAGAAGCAATGAGCCCAGAAATCCAGTCCACACACGAAACCAAACGGCACAACTATGTCTATTAATTCTTAGTCCAAAATGAAGTAATGGTAAAGGACAAATAAAATAATGCAGCAAAAATTATATAATATGAATGCATACCTTGGTAGCTTTGACAATATGGGCTGCTTCTGCAAATTATCTAGGTAGATTCTAAAACTTACGTGACAGAGTTATATATATTTTTATTTAACTTTGTTAATTGATATCCATCATTAATAATATAACAAACAGTTGTGTACTAGTATTTGCCCAAAAAATTCCACATTAGGTGCTGCTAATTGTCAAAATATTTAGGCGTTTAGCCTTAGCTAGCCTTAACTACTGGTACTTTTAAAATATTATAAGTGGGAAAGTGGTTATAAAATTGAAATTAATGAAGACAAATCTATTAAGGAAAAATCAATCAAACATAAGTGTATTTAAAAAGAGAGGAGACAAATTCATAGAACTCCTTTGTTCTTTGTTGATAATGTACCACTTGATATTGGTCAATAATATCTGCCATATAGTGGTTCCTTCCCATCCCAGCTGGTAAAAAAAGTTAAATAAACTTATGAAATGGTATGCAGTCATTTGGTCCCTCTGTTACCCCCACCCACTGGTAGAACTTTTAAGAATGATTCATTTGATCTTAAATGTTGAATTTTATTAAAATAAGGTATTGGACTTGACTTTTTTCTTAATTATTAGGTACTTATTTTTATTGGAGTAATAGTGTTGTGATTGCATGAAGCATTGCTGTTAGATGATGAGATACTTTGCATTATAGAATATTGATTTTAAACAATGACATTTTATATTATTAATACTTTTCTTTTTCATGGAGAAATTTATTTGCTAGGAAGGAAGATTTGTTCAGATTTAAAGAATATCCTGGTTGTCTGTCAATCCGATTCAAGAAGACATATCATAATCAATACTCTCTCCCTCACACAACCTTGTTACTGTTAAAAGACACACATCCCCTTCCTCATATTATTTGGTATGATTTAAATACATGTTAGACTACTCCACATATAGCCAATTGGTTTTATGTTCGAACCTTAACATGGTATCAGAGCCAAAACTTAACATCTTTCCGGTTATTGTCATGAGCAAAAAGTTGTCCTTTAGTTGGGTCAAAAGTACCCTTTGCCTGGTCCGGCAGGCTTCATTGGAAGGGGTGTGTTGAAAGTCCCACATCGCCTACTTCATATCATTTGGTATGGTTTAAATCACTACTACAAAATATATTTTCTACGTTGTCATTTAACACATTCTACGCTCGGCTTTTAGTCAACCGACGTAGAAAGTACTTTCCACGTGAAACCGACATTGAAAGTCTTTTTTTTTATTTTTTTCACTTATTGACACTTAAATTTGAAAATTGTCACTTGCAGGATTCGAACTCGGGATTTTAGAATTGAAACTATTATAATTTTCTCGATAATAAATTACAAATAAATTATATTTATATACAAATAAATATATATATATATATATATATATATATATCCATGTAAATATATATTTATTTGTATATATTTTCTGGAAATTATTTTTATTTTTTTTCAACTAAAAATTCACTTAAGTTAATGAATTGTCACTGACAACATTTGAACCCAAGTATTTTAGAGTTAAAAGTTAATATCCCAACCACTAAACTACTATAATTTTTTTATAATAACTTACAAATAAATTATATTGGTATTTTTCGATTAAGGGTGAAAGTTGGATTGACTCTCGCTGAGTGAAAATATGTTAAAGCTCACGAAAATTCACTTACTCAAGCCTCGTTTGAGCGAAAATTGGTATTTCTCGCTTGAGAGCGAATGACGTGTTTCCCAAATTTATTTTATATCATTATATAAATAAAATTATAAAGATTATATTCGTCATTAAATTACAAACTCATATAAAGATACTTTGCTCACAAATTTAACATCAAATTTTGAAAACCCACTCGACACACACTTTCACTTTCGAGTGTGCTCTCACATCCAACATATAAATATATAACTATATAAATATATAAATATATCAAAATATATAAATATATTTGTATTTATATATTTACATGGATATATATTTATTTGTATATAAATATAATTTATTTGTAAGTTATTATCGAGAAAATTCTAGTAGTTTAGTGGTTGGAGTATCAACCTCCAACTTTAAGGTATTGGGTTCAAATTCTGCAATGACAATTCTCTTAATAAATTAATAAACTTATCTAAAAGATATAATATAAAGAGAGAGGAGGCTTCTAGATAAATAAAAAAAGGAAAGTGATTGTAAATAAATAAAAATTATTAATTTAAAAAATCATACTCACGTAAATAAATAAAAATTATTAATTTAAAAAATCATACTCACGTAAATATCATTCCTTCCACTTCAGTTTCCTTTTAAGAATATGTATGCACAAACTAGGTTGAAACTATGCACGGGCTTGGAATATTATGTGTGGACTAGTTATAAGCTTCAACCACCATGCATTGCATCGCTGAAGGTGCTTCTGTTATAAGATTGGTTCACTTTTTATTTGTCTTCTTTCTTTCCATGAACTGTTCATGAAATTAATTTTGGATTTGGATTTCGTCCATCATCACTCCATCTCTTGCTTTTCCTTTCATTTCTTAATTTATCTTTTAGCTTGTTTCATACATAAAATACGTACTAAAATAACTTCTTTCCAATCATATATGCTAATCCATTACTTCATACATCAATTTTTTTGTCTCTAGCTAGTCCCGTAAGAGTTATTCTGCATGTTTCTATATATATATTTTGAGACAAAGAAAAGTATAGAACTCAAAAATAGCATGTATTTTCTTAGAGTACGATATGATTATCAGTTAATCACGTTACACTGTATTGAAAAAGAAGTAATATACATGTCTACGTTCTTAAGAAACTTTTCACTCGTATCTTAAAGAGGCAACAATAACCAAGAAGATCAAAATGAAGTTTAAGGGGCATGATTAATTGGTTATGTCATGTGCTTTGAGACAATTACGTACGAGGTTCAGATTGCAAATGAAGTTGTGACAATAGTTTGGGATCTGGGAAACCCTATATTTATATTTCCCTTAAGCGCATAAGACGTAGTTTCCTCTTCACTGTATAATTGAGTTCATTTATGTAATATAATATAATCATAGCATTTGTTTAGCTGTTCTGTTCCCACTATCAAGATACGCGTTTTGGTTAATCCATTATAAGGGTCTGTGTTGAGAGAAATTGGATGCGATTGGAACCAAATCCATTTGTGCAGACTAGTTTGACTAATCTTCCAAGTAGAAGCAAAAACATGAAATTGTGATTAAGAATGCATGTAGAGCATGTTCAAAACGCAAACGTGTTTATTTCTTTTGTTACTGCATTTGAAATGTGAAAGGCTAAATTTTTTCCATTAGTAGTTTACTTTATGATGTGATCTACCTAGCAAACTATAAGGCAAATTCAATAGATTTTTGTTGCTTGCATTCATGAGTGGTTGCAAAAGGTTTAACCTTTTTCTTATTTTCTCCACAAACTACAACACAAGTTTTATCATATACACATTTTTTTTTTGTTTTTTTTCTGGTTGCCAAAACTGTACTCTAATTTGTTGATAAGGAAAGAAGATGGACAGGCTGGCCACAATTTCACCGACACCATCCTACTAACCCCAAGTCCATGTTTTACTAGTCTGTCTGTGTTTGGGATAACGTTCTCATGATTTATTCTATAAAATTAATTTTGAAGTAATATAACATATATTCATGGATCTTTTGTAAGAGTTTAATGTGAATAATAATAGTAATTTTTAATGTGAAATCAAAGGAATAAGTAAATTTCATATTTTGTGAAGGTGAGAACGCGTTATTTGCGGATCTAGTAGATATAAGAGTAACTTTTGGTCATATTTTCTTTGAAATTGTTTAGTATAATACGAGACACATATTACTGTAAAGTTTATCTTTTCAATCTGTCTGATTTTAACATATACAAAATTAATTTTTTTATTCTTTATATTTCTCTAAACGTTATATTTACTTTAGTAGAATAGAATATTATTTTATTTCTAATTTATTTTTATTAAATTTTGTTATATTATATTTTGTAGATTTTATTATTCATATTTATTTTAATTAAATAGTTGTATTTTGAAGAATTAACAAAAATTAATAATTAAAATTTTTATATTTTTGTATTAGTTAGATAAAAATTAACTTAATAAATATTTTTTTTATAAATCATATATTTCATATTTATTAATATTTTAAAATGACAATTTTAAAATTAATTATTTAAGTATAATATTATAATATATAATAATAAAAATGTTATACGTATCATATATCATATAAAGATTGGTGTTTATATTTTCTCCTTGAGCCTTTTCAACTCTTCAACTAAGCCTTTCAATTAATTTTTTTCCCTTATGCAAAATTAGGTTTGGTTGCCTCAAACCCACGCATGATGCCGTTGAACGTCTATCTAATTAACCTTTTCTTCATTTTCTTGCATTAATTGTGTTTATGTATGACTTCTCCTAAAAAGCAACTTGATGTAAGCACAAAGTTAAACCACATGTATATATATTGTCTTATACTTAGAACATTTACTTTCTGTTCATAAATTTGCTTTAAAATATTAAATTATAAAGTGACGTCACAACCAAAAATTATACACCTCTTCAAACAACTCACTTTTATTAATATAATAAATAGAGTTATTTATAAGAGTAGAATGAATTTAGGTTGTCAAACTATCATTTTCTTAAATTATATATGTTAAATTAAGATTATTTAACTTAACACAAAAACAAAGGTTGTAAACAGGGCATATGTACCCTTATAACTTCACATATGAATCGCTTTGACCAATATTGTGTGATGGTTGACAACATTTTAATAACCGTGTGAATGTTCATAGAGCTCTGCACCAAGTTGCTAACAGCGTGGTAGCAACTCAGTCTTTTCATACTGAACAAAGGCCATTCAAAGTTAGACCCTCTAAACCAAAACCAAGTCTCTTACCCTTCTCATCATCCACCATAGCCAAACAAACAAAAGTAAAATATATTAACTGAGATGTTTTTTCATCTCTTTCACTAATTCAGCATATCAGTCATTTGTTTGCTAATACTTCAAGAGGGTATAGTTTACACTTTTTTACATGCATAAAAAAAGTGGAAATTCAACATAATTCACAACATTTTGGTACTTTTGTCAAACTACAAAGATTAATCCTAAGTGAAGGTCAAGTTGGTCTTCTACGCCAAGGCTTGGTCACATACCAAGTCCACTGCGACCAATAAATGTTTTCAAATCAACCAACAATAACCCAACTAGCAAAGCAAAGCAAAACGAATAACCAAACATGAATAAGGTTTAAGGAGGGTTTTCCTAGAACTTGCTGCGCTTATTCCTCGAAACACCCTACTTTTTTCTCTAATACAGAAACTATTATATATATACAGGCCATTTGGCAACTCTTTTCCACCATGTTCATTTTCTACTTCTCTCTTGGTTCTTATGTGCCTGGTGGGATTAGAAACCCAGTTCAAACCTAACTCAAACTATGCAACAATTTCCATTGTGAGATATGCTGAGAGTTTATAGCAAATAAAATCCTGCGAATTACCTCTAATATCTCTTCTAGTTATAAGCCTCAGAAATCATGAACCGGGACAAAAGCATAGATAAGGCCATGAAGCCACGAAGGCGTGATCCTCAAAGATCAAGACACAGTGGTGGTGGTGGTGGTGGTGGCAGCACTGGTGGCCACCGCAGTCCGGTGCTAGGGCTGTGCTGCTTTCTTCTTGCGGTTATCGTGTTGTCTTTGGTTTTGTTTGTTTTCTTTTATTTCATCTTTGGTGAATGAAAAGAAGAAGTATGACGAATAAAAATCTGCGTAGTGAAGTCACTGGACTGGGTGGATCAAGTTCCATACACTTTCAAATTGGAGAGGAAAAGGAAGAGCTCAATTAGGGTACAGTGCTATCTATGGTCGTGCAAGGACCTTGATCCACTTTTAACTACTACAACCGCATTGTATTTTGCTTACTTTCATTGGCTATTAATGTTTAAGGACTCATCTTACATTTTATTACTTAACAACATCATCATCATCATCATCATTATTATTATTATTATTATTATTATTATTATTATTATTATTATTATTATTATTATTATTATTTCAACAATTTTATTATTATGTTTTTTTATTTTCTAACACACTTGTTGAATATAGAAGAAATAGAGTTTGAGATTAATCTCACTTGTGTATAAATCACACATAGAGTAGTCTATTTATAGTAGAGAGATACAACTAAAAGAGTAATCGAAAGTAACAGAATAAACGAGAAGATATTGTTTGATATTATGATTAATATCTAACAATATCTTAACAATATTAAATAATATCTAAACAATATCTAACACTCCCTCTCAAGTTGAAGCATACAAATCGTATGTGCCAAGCTTGTTACAAATATAATCAATTCTAGGACCCAGTAAAGATTTAGTAAAAATATCCGCTAACTGATCACTTGAGTTAACAAACTCGGTCTTGATGTCTCCAGACATAATCTTTTCTCGAATGAAATGACAGATCAATCTCAATGTGTTTGGTCCTCTCATGAAAGACACGATTAGAACTAATATGAAGAAGCGACTGATTGTCACACACAAGTGACATTTGAGTGACATCTCCAAATTGTAACTCTCTAAGCAATTGCTTGAGCCAAACAAGTTCACAAGCAGCTGAGGTCATAGCTCTATATTCTGCTTTTGCACTAGATCTTGCCACAACACTTTGTTTCTTACTTTTCCATGAGACCAAGTTACCACCAATGGAGACACAATATCCAGATGTAGATCTTCTATCCGAAGGAGATCCTGCCCAATCATCATTTGAGTAGCAAACAACTCTTGTATGGTTATTAGAATCATATAACAATCCTTTTCCAGGAGATCCTTTAATATACTTTAAGATACGAATGACTGCATTCCAATGATCTTCACATGGGGAATTAAGAAATTGACTTACCACACTGACTGCAAAGGAAATGTCAGGACGAGTAACTGTAAGATAATTCAATTTTCCAACCAATCTTCTATACTGTTCAGGATCAGGTATAAGCTCCCCCTGATTTGGTAAAAGTTTAGTATTGGGATCCATGGGCGTATCAACAGACTTTGAATTCATCAACCCAGTTTCCTCTAAAATATCCATGGCATACTTCCTCTGAGATATAACAATACCATCATTGGACTGTGCCACCTCAATACCCAAGAAATATCTAAGTTTGCCAAGATCTTTGGTCTGAAAATGGTGACAAAGATGTTGTTTCAACTGAGAGATGTCATGGTTGTCATTACCTGTAAGAACGATGTCATCAACATATACTATCAAGTAAACACATCCAGCACTTGAGTGTCGATAAAAGACAGAGTGATCTGCTTCACACCGAGTCATACCAAATTGTTGAACAACCTTGCTAAACTTTCCAAACCAAGCCCTAGGAGACTGTTTTAGGCCATATAGGGATTTGCGAAGACGACATACCATTCCAGAAGACTCCCCCTGAGCAACAAACCCAGGAGGTTGCTCCATATAGATTTCTTCTTGCAAATCACCATTGAGGAAAGCATTTTTAACATCTAGTTGATAAAGAGGTCATTGTTGAAGAGCGGTCATGGCGATAAATAAACGAACAGAAGTCATCTTTGTCACAGGGGAAAAGATATCTCCATAATCCAACCCAAAAATTTGAGTATAACCTTTGGCCACAAGACGTGCTTTGAGGCGATCAATAGTACCATCAGGTCCAACTTTGATAGCAAACACCCACCTGCAACCAACAACAAATTTTCCAGACGGTAACGAGACCAATTCCCAAGTTCTACTATTATGAAGAGCACTTAGTTCATCTAACATGGCCTGACGCCAACCAGGATGGGCTAAAGCTTCACAGACAGTTTTTGGAATGGTCACAGAAGAAAGAGAGGAAAGACATGTATAAAAAGGTAATGACAGTTGATGATAACTCAAACCAATATAATGAGGAGAGGGATTACGTGTAGAACGGATACCTTTTCAGAGGACAATGGGAAGGTCAGACTCAGGTGTCCATCCGGAGGAGACAGAGTAGTTGGCACTTGAGTAGAGTCACATGGTGGTGGTTGTGATTGGTTTCGGCAACTATAAACCTGAAGAGGTAGTGAAGAAGAAGTTTACTGCGGAGTAGAATCTAATGGTGAAGAAGACACAGTTAGAGGGTCACAAACAACAGGAACATTAAATGTACTAGGAGTGTTGACAATATTGGATGGAGACAGAGGTGAAGATTGACTTTTAAAATAAAAAGAGAACTCATCAAAGGTGACATCTACAGACACAAAATAACGGTTAAGAGAAGGAGAAAAACATTTGTATCCTTTTTGTGATCTTGTAAACCCTAAGAAAACACATTTATGTGATCTAGGAGAAAGCTTGTCAAGACTAGAACTAAAATTATGAACAAAACATGTAGACCCAGAAACTTTTAGAGGCAAGGGATGAAGTGGTTCATGAGGGAATAAAATGGAATGAGGTATTTTATTATCTAGAACCGAAGATGGCATGCGATTAACAAGATAACATGCAGTAAGAAGAGCATCACCCCAAAAATGCTGAGGAACCTCTCCATGAATTAAAAGAGTGCGAGTTGTTTCAATAAGATGTCTATTTTTATGTTCAGCTACACCATTTTGTTGAGGTGTATAAACACAAGAAGTTTGATACAAAATACCATGAGAAGCCATGAATTGTTTAAAAGAATGAGAAAGATATTCACGACCATTATCACTGCGCAAAACTCTAATAGAAACACCGAACTGAGTTTGAATTTCATTGAAAAAAGTTTGAAAGATATGAAATAATTCAGAACGATTTTTCATCAAAAATAACCAAGTACATCTGGAATAATCATCAATGAAAGTAACAAAGTATTGAAAACCTAAAGTAGACTTAACGCGGCTAGGTCCCCAAATGTCAGAGTGAACCACGGCAAAAGGGGACGAAGCACCACGTGTGATACTACGAGGAAAAGAAGTACGACTATGCTTGCCTAATTGACACGACTCACATGCCAAACTAGACAATTTAGATAAGGCAGGGACAAGTTGCTGTAACTTGGCAAGACTTGGATGACCTAACTGAGCATGGAGAAGAGAGGGAGACTCTATAACTGCACCAACATGTGTAAAGGGACGAAGATGATAAAGACCATGAGACTCACATCCTGTGTCAATCACCTGTTTCAAACTCCGGTCCTGTAAACACACAGAATTGTTGGTAAAAGAAACAACACAATCAAGAGAACAAGTTAGACGACTGATGGATAACAGGTTAAAAGGAGACCCAGGGACATAAAGAACATTATCAATGGTTAAAGAAGGGAAAAGTTTAACAGTTCCAACACCATGTGATGATACTCTAGAGCCATCAGCTAGTGTAACAAAAGGTAAAGGATCAGGAGAGGATAAAGAGGAGAACAAAGATTTGTTACCAGTAATATGATCAGTGGCTCCTGAATCAAAAACCCAAGGACCAGAAGAAGATTGGGTCAGACCAGCAAAAGATGTACCTGTGTGTGCGATAGACACAGTGGAACTAGAAGACTGTTGATCCTTATACCGCGTTAATTCTACTTTAGGTTTTCAATACTTTGTTACTTTCATTGATGATTATTCCATATGCACTTGGTTATTTTTGATGAAAAATCGTTCTGAATTATTTCATATCTTTCAAACTTTTTTTAATGAAATTCAAACTCAGTTCGGTGTTTCTATTATAGTTTTGCGTAGTGATAATGGTCGTGAATATCTTTCTCATTCTTTTAAACAATTCATGGCTTCGCACGGTATTTTGCATCAAACTTCTTGTACTTATACACCTCAAAAAAAATGGTGTAGCTGAACGTAAAAATAGACATCTTATTGAAACAACTCGCACACTTTTAATTCATGGAGATGTTCCTCAACATTTTTGGGGTGATGCTCTTCTTA